AAATTAATATACCGCTTGTGCGTCTGTGCTTCACCTCGCATTGTGCATTATCAAGATTGTGTCGTGCATTATGAATGACGCATGCTGTTCTAAAATTCACAACAGCCACTTGAATAAAAGCTAAAATTTAACAAAAAACAAGCTCCAAGTTCCCTCTCGCCACCTCCTCCAGCTTATCTGGGAAACATCGAGCCTTTCCCAGGTGAGCCAATAGATGTAATCTCTCCAGCGTGTTTTGGGTCGCTGGGACCTTCTCCGATAGGACATGTCAGAACACCTTGTCCAGGAGACGACAGCCTTAGCCATCTCCTTATGATGTGGAGGAGCAGCGGTATACTCTGAACTCCTCGTGATTGATTGATCTCCACACCCCATCACTAAGGCAGAGCACATCCACCTTTCGAAAAAGGCTAATTTCCACCGCTTGTATCGAAATGTCATTCTAATACTGCATTCTAAGGCCTGCATTAATAGATTTATGACTTAGGACACAATCATTTAACACCATTGGGCATCAATTAAAATTTTAACAATCAGATTAAAGGACTAGTAAGTCTGTTACCGACTAGTGACATTTAAACCACGGATGACATCCATGGTTGAGATTTCTTTTTCTTTTTTTTTTTTTAAATCACTCTTACTTCCTGTCTTCCCAGTGCTGCGCAGTGGCCTTCATTGAGAAGTTGGATGGCCAGTCTCTGAACCTGAGCTCTGAGGAGTTTGAGCTTTACATGTCGGGCCAGGCGTCCCCAAACTGGCCACTCACTTCCGGAGCCGCCTCCTCCTCCAGCAACAGCGCTCTCAGTCAGGTCCACAAAAGGCTGGATCTGCTGACGGGGCTCGGGGAAAGGCAGGAGCGCGTCATCGAGAAGGCTCGCCAGCTGGAGAGTGACCTCATTGACTGGACCGATGAAGTGGAGCAGAAAGTGCAGAGCGTTCTGGAGAGTTTTCCACCCGACATGCAAAACCTCCCTGCACCCACAGCGAGTGGGGCTGCAGCAGCTTCATCAGCAATCGACTCTGATAATGTTGAGAATGAGCTCCTGCCACCACCACTGCAGCCACAAGTGTTTGCTGGTTGATATAAAGCTTTACTCCACCCTGACCCTTTTCCCTCCAGCTGTCTGATACAGATCCCAGTCAACACTCCCAGAATCTTTGCTCCATCCACCCTTTTCTTGTAGAAGCCATGAAGCTAGACCTTATAGCAATGTCACTTTCAAATGGAAAAAAAAAAGTTTGTTATTTTTGGGTTGTGCGTTTATTTGCTTTCTTGGAGAGAGTAAGATGAGAAGCTTGATGCCACTCTCGTGTTTGAACACTGCGAAATATTTTGTTGTAAATTAGTTTGTAGAAAAACCAAAGCGTAGAAGCTTTCGTACAGATCAGCAGTTCATTGGTGGTGGATTTCTGTCACCTGTGGACACGGCTAGGCTGGTTGCAGCTGTCAGAGTGGTATGAATGCTCCTGACTCTCCACCAGGAAGCAAATAAGAACATTTACTAAAGTTTGAGATTATTTTGAACACCAGGCACCACTAGGTGGAGTCCTGGAGTCCAGCAACACTCAGTCAGGGGTCTGTTACTGTTACAGTCTGCTCCTGTTAAAGTGTTAGACTTGCTGATATCCTCAATCCAGCTGTGCAGTGGAAAGAGAGTGACTCCATTCCAAGTTCTTCCGAAACACATCCGCTTGTCACCCACTGTGGCATCTTCAGTACCTCAGCTATTCTTCACCCTTTATGTACAGAGAGGGTAAAATGGACGATATTTAAACATGTATAATAACTCTCAAACTATCAGATGAGGATTTATTTTAAGCGTATGTCTCCGGGCTATGTTGGCCCTTAATTCCCAAGTTGTATCTAACAAACAATAATTTTCATTACACTTTACATAACACTTTAGATGGGCGGGGTGGGGGTAAACGAGGTGGTAGGGAACTCCCAATGATGCAATAACCAACTTGCCGCTCTTTAAAACTCTGAAACTCCAGCTCATGTTTGTAATGTGTGCTGTGTTTAGTGTGCGTTTCACAACCCTTCACAGAAATAGCCAGAAAAAAGAAGTGTGTGCGTGAGTTGAGAAACTGTGTGTGTGTGTTGCATGTTCTAGTAATGTTGACAAATCCTCCAGTTACACCTGTAGAAATACTTTTTTTTTTTCCATGGCTGACCTCATTCTAGTCACAAGCTGAATGTACAGAAGTGATTTTATTTTTCTATACGGTGTTGGTTAATCCTCCCTCTGGATGCAGTAGGAGATGATAATCCTGTAATATTTACAGTAGATTAAAAAAAAAAAAAACTTTGCTTGAAGATGTATAAATTTTAATGATCGGGTCGTTGACGATTTAAGAGAGCATTATGAGCAGGTCTGCTGAAAGAAGGTGAATGAATTGGGCACAAAAACCAGCACGATGCCGTTTCCCTGTAAGAATGAGGCAGAATCACTCCAGAGGCTCATGGAGAATTTAGAAAACCAGTTTAATTTATTTTATGGCACTTTTGTTTGCTTTTAAAGCACTTCATTCAATAATGAAGGTCATTGCGCAGATTAGTTGATAGTATAGTAGTTAAAAGCGTCTTTGTTGCACAGATTTAGTTCAACTGTCTTTTTTAAATTTCTCAGTCTTGAAGTGGAGGAAGCTTTTTAGGAAAGTTTGTTTGAATTATGTGAGGCACATTTTTCTTTTCTCGCGAGCTAAAGTTTCCCTTTCCAACCAGGTTTAATTTTTGTTGTTGTTGTTGAGAATTTGCAACAGTGCAGTCAGTGTGCGGCTGCTGTCAAAATTCACTTTGAGAAAAAGCTCTTAATGCAGACATAAACTAACAGCTTGAATAAATTCTTATTGCACTGTATGCAGAAGCCATTTATCAGGTATTTCAAAACATTTTAAACCGCGTCTTTGTTACCTTATAGGTTTGTTGTTGTGTGACATGGGAGAAATGAACAGAATACTGTCTTTTATTTAAATGTAACTTATTGGGGCAGTATTGGTATATTTGCATCTATGGGTGTGTGGTTAATAAAAATAGAAAAGTAAAATGGACTGTTGTGGTTCCTTTTAATTTTTTTCACATGACTGTGATGGTCAAGATTTTGCATGTCAGGAATGAAGTTCCTGACATGCAAAATCAGGAAAAATGAACCCAGAATTTTAGCTGTGTCTACTGTTCTGTATGATATCTGGGAAAGGGGGGGGGGATACTTTAAGGGTGGCTTCTTGGCAGCATATCTTAAGGATGTGTTTTTCATGACGTGGCTGGTAATCTGCTGTTGATAGCGTTTTAGGCCTCTTCTGCTTTCACCGTGCACTTGTCCAATTTCCTTAAATTTGTAAAAACACACTCCATGCCCTACTGAGGTTTAATAACAAAATGCCTAAAGATACAATTTAAAAATGGTCCTTAGTTATGTTGTCTGTAACACAAAAAGAAAAAAACCACATTCCCGTGAACATGGTCAGGTGTAAGGAGTGGACTAGAAACCAAAAGCGAAACCTAGAAAGCCTCGAGAACTGTTGCTTAAGACCTCTTGGCTCAAAGAAAAAAACCAAAGAAAAAGAACAAGAAAACACACCCTTCCAGTGAAAAGCTCTGCGGTTCATTTTCACTGGAAGGGTTCAAATGAGCTAGAAAGAATAATGCAACAAATAATATTTCACAGTTTGGGAGTACAGCTCAACAGTGCAGTGAATCAGTGGATTGTATAAAAACCTGATGGAGTTTCATTCTATTAATTATACACTTATCAATAATGTAGGTGTGGTCTTCTGCTGCTATAGACCATCTGCTTCGAGGTTTTTGGTCACAGATGCTCTTCTGCATGACTTGGTTGTAAAGAGTGGTTATTTGAGTTACTGTTGCCTTTCTATCAGTTCAAAGCATTCCTCTGACCTCTGAAATCAGCAAAGCATTTTTACTTGGAGAACTGCCCTGATATGAACTCTTCTTTTTTTTTTTTTTTTTAAACTAACCTCGGTAAACTCTAGAGATGGTTGTGCTGGGAAAATCCCAGCAGATTAGTAACTTGGAAAATGCAATGGTAAATGTTTTTTTTTCACTCTTCACTGCACTATCTATAATGCCAGAAAAAGCCCCCAAAAATATATTTAAAAGAATGTAGGAGGATACAACAGTGAGTGGCTACATGCATCTAAAAAAAAAAAACATGTTGGAGGCTCCGTCATGGCCACTATCTGGAAAATAACTGATTGGCAGCAGCTTAATATTGTCACGCTGCCAATTCAGTAAGACCATACCTGGATTTAAAAAAGAAAAAGAAAAACAAAGAAACCACACACAATGTGACACTATCAGTCTTTGACGATAGTGTCCTTCCAGAAGCCTGGAGAACTATTCCTCAAGACTACTTAAAGAAATTAAAAGAAAACTGCTTCAGACAGTTTTGACTGTGTTAAAGAATAAAGGTCATAACAAATATTAACTGTCAAGCTTGTTAGAATTGTACAAATTTTATTTTTGCCTCATGTGCTGTATTACCGTGTACATTTCCACATTTCAATAAATTGCTGGACCTATTTCCCATTTTCCTGGCAAAATATAAAGGCACGAGGGGTGACTCATGGCTTTTACACAGTGCTGTAAGAGAAAAAAGCTCATAGCAGACTACTGCATCAGTACTACAATAATAAAGTGTAAAATTTGCATTATTTCAATTGGCTTGATACAACAAATAAACAGAACAACTGTGTTTGCTAAATCTGGAAAATATCAACTTTCCACATTAATCAGAAGAAGAAAAAAAGTGTTGTTGGGGAGAACTGTGCAACATATCAGAGCTATTTAACAGGGGTCAGATACAGGAGGGAAGTTCTTTAATTTGCCACATGATGTGGTTTACCATGAAACTAATTTTAGCCTACGGTAGAAAATTGTTTGGAAAAGATGAAGTCCTCATGTGTTACACCCCGAGGGGGGGAAGAAGCATTTTCACTTCTCCTTTTAGTGAAAATGAATAAATACTCGATCGGCTTCTGTTTCTTGAAGAGTCTCCAAAATGGACAAGCTCATCTCTCTCTTTGGTGAGTTTTCTTCAGCTCATTTAATGAAAATGTACTTTTACATACTGACCTGATGTAACTGTCATTTAAACTTGATTATTTTCTCTTTCAGTTTTTTCAGCACTCTCACAGATTGTAGTGTCTCATGGTATGGACCAAATATTCTTTACAAATATACTTTCAATTTGCACAGATATTATTTTAGAAGTGATCTCAGGATTTACACTCATTACCAAAATAGATCCTTTAAACGTATTCTTCTTTTTTTCTGCAGTTCCCACTGAGACGTCTTTCAGAGCCAACATCGAGTTGGTGTCAGGACATTCAAGGATCTTCTCGGGGGAGAGAGCACACTTGAGATGCAGTATTCCTGATGTGCACAGGTCTAACTGGACCTACCTGTGGTTCAGGGGCTCTGAGGAGCTCTCACAGACTGGGCAGGAATTAAATCTGTTGAATACCAAAGTTCAAGAGAGCGGGAAATACTACTGCCAAGGAACAAGAAACACGAAGGTGGGAAAGATTCGCACCCAGCAAAGTGTCCCTGTGGAGCTCAAGGTGGACGGTAAGATCTGTTTGTCTGCATGAAAGAAATAAAATTGCTTTGCACGTTAGGCTTCTTTCTTCCTGTGTAATCCTAACACTGGAGCATTGAACATCTATAAGCTTCTTTTCAACTTTAGGTTTTCTGTGCAGCTCATCTAAGACATGCTGTGAGTGATGGCAGCACTTCTTAATACAGCCTGCAACTTATACTGTGACTTTCTAGGGTTTAACATATAAATCTTCTATAATTCTACTTAAAATGTCAATTTGGTACAACAAGGACTTGTTTTGTTTGGGGTTTTTTGTACTTATGTGGTATCTTTTCCCCACCTTATGTTATAACTAGACAGTATATCAGGGGTGCAGGCTGTATTATAGAGTACCTTAACCTCCCCTTCTTGCATTGTAGCATTATGCATTATTGTTAGATGTTGTTACATTAAATGTTAGGAAATTAGTGAATTTCTCCCATTGCTTTACTAATGTAAGATTGGAAGTTATTCAGAGATAACTCTGTGGTGTTTCCGTAGGTGGCTGGGCGATTCTGCAAGTCCCACGACATCCTCAACTTGTCGGGAGCACATTGGAGGTGACATGTCGTGTCAGAGGGAACCCCCGACTTGAAGAGATTATTTTGTACAAAGATGGCGTTGAAGTAATGAGACAAAACGGTCACAAGCCAGATTTCTATCTGACCAACTTGAGCCTTGAGGACCTAGGAGTATATTCTTGCAGGGCTTCCTGGGATGTGATGGGACAAACACACTCTGTCATTTCTGCTGGTGCTCATGTACAGATCTTAGGTGAGATTACACAGAATTGTGTGTTCTTATCTTAGGTGTGGTGTAGTTAAAGGAATGACAGCATGCTTTGAGAGATGTGCTAATCTAGATAGTGTTCTTATAAGTGATCCATTTTTACACCTAGTGCTAAACTTGGTGTGTATAGACCTTCTCCTTTAATGCTGAGCAAGAAAGCCCATATTTCCCACAATGTTAAGTTATTCCTGTTAGTACAATTGAACATAAATATTCTTAGCCTCATGACCTACCACTGGTTTTTTCTTAAATTAAATCAATGTCTTCTGTCACAGAGGTTCTGTCACAGCCAGTTTTGAAGATCATCCCCAACTATGATACTCAGCTAAAGAGGATGAAGCTCATTTGCCATGTGCAGTACAACGCCCCTGCTCCTGCCCCTCCGATAGACTTCTATTTCTACAAAAATAACAGGCGACTGGGACCTGCAACCTCTGACAACTATAATGTAGTGAAACAGACTCCAGGGCTGTACAGCTGCAAGGCCAGGGTGCCTCAGTTGGACCTCTCGAAGTCCAGTGAACCCAAAAACTTTGGACAAATAAGAGGTATTTAAATTTAAATTTACCCCAGCATTTGTTCTACACCGACAAGCCCCAAAGTTCCTAATGGATTGCTAAAAATGTGATACTTTGTGTCTAACAGTTGCACAGCCTCAGAGGCCATCTCATCTCTGACCCAACAGAACCTGAGAAGATGCCACCTCTTCATCCTGGACAAAGGCCAGTATTTCGCCTTGCTTCAGCCACAGATGACTTCCCACCTGCTGCTGCTTCATTACCAACCTCCCCTAACCTCTCCTCTCACCAGCCGATCCAGTTCACTCCAGTAAAGAGCACACCATCACAAGCGCCTCCACTGAAGACTTCATAAGCAGTCCCAACCACTTTGCTGACTACAGACCAGGATTTTAACTCAGCTACAACTCAAGATCAGGCAAATTGATTGGAGGAACCTGGTAACATGTCTGGGGACATAAACATAGTAACTAACTGACAATAAACCAGTAAACCAGTCACCAGTAAACATCCACAACATAAGATGTACTGGCTGGTTTACCAAAACATTTCTTATAACTTTCACTGAAACTAGCTAATTGTTTTCTATCATATTTCTGATGAAACAACACAGTTACAGGCTAATGCAGGAGAGAAACATCATTTAGCTAGCGCACCCACGTTACTAGCGTTACCCAAGGATAACCTGAATTAACCCCCTTATTTGGTCACGTTACTTTAAATAAGTATCAATTTTACATAAATGTATATACTGCTCGTCTACCGCTCTCACCTGAAACGCAGCAAAACAGCAGTTGTGTGTTACTGATGGTAACTGATTACTACTTTTATAAGGGATTACTTTGTCAGTCACTCATTTGTGTGATCCGCCACTGCCACCTACTGGCGGAACTAAATATCGCCTTAGCATCAAATCAGGTGGGAGGAAATGAGCTTTTCACTCTGTGTTATGATGTCAACTATTGTCACAACAAAAGCAAAAAAAAAAAAAAGTGATTGGGGGGGCACATTAAAAGAAGTTCATCAAATTCTGAGACTTTTTTAACACTTAAAATACTCAGGGTGCCACACAGCCTCTCTGTGACAACGTAGCATACATTACAAACCAAACCCCTCTACTAATCACGCTGCGTCATTGTCACAGTTCTGTACTGAACTGTGCAATTTTTTATCTTTTTGAATTATTTCCAGTTAACAAACATCAAGCGCTGTACCAGAATTGTTGGAGATATCTAACACATACATGTTAAAATCAAATAAAGCATTTTAAAAAATGTTATGTACTGCTGGATTTTATTTTCTGTGAACACAATTTATTTTTACTGCTCCATATTTGAGCAGAACTTCTTATATATTACAATCACTGGTTTCATAAGACACAGGGGTGCAGTCATATTTTGACAGATTTACATTAAGATGCAGCTGTCGGTGATGACTATTGTGAACACATTTGTCTTTTCTATTTAACACTTTTTGCATACATGTTCACACAACTTAGGTCATTATAGGTGAAAACAACTAAAAAGGAAGCAGCAGTTAAATCGTGAGAAAAAAGTAGGACCCAAAAGGAAGGAGCTTTTTCATTTCATGCAAATGAGGCAAGGGTGACACTGGGTCAGGGCATTGACTTGAAGGTTAACTGAAGGAATCAGTAGAGGAACACAGTAATCTTGCTGACAAATAGATAAACAGCACTGATCATATTTTTGTGCTTTATCTTTTGCGTTGGTAGCTGAATAATAAACTTCTGCACGATCTCTCACTTACTGCTGCTACTTTTAATTAGGATGCTTTAACATAAGGAGGCACTGCATGTGCACAAAAATGTTGGATAAATTATACATTTTTTATGCTAAATATTGAACTTTTACACTTTTATCATTTTAAAAAAAACTTAGTTTCTTCTGTCTGGATAACAGGAGATTCATTTATTCACTACTTGTGAATGCCATCTTCCAATAATTAACTCAGTGGTATTTCTTGGGATGCTTTACTCACTATCTTAAAAAAAATTGGACTGTATTTAACCATTATATTTAATTAGGGTGGTGTCAATCAAAACTTTGGAGCGCTAATCTGCAGCAGCATTATTGTGTGGCGAGTACTATCCCTTCTTAAGAAGAGGCTAGGCAATAATAGAAGACGTGCAGACCAGCATGTACACTAGCACCACCAGTATTCAGACTTTGTGATAGTAAACACAAAGTGTGCATCACGGCTTGTCTGAGTAAAGCAGAAATCCAGAGAAGATGCTGTCGTCCTCACTGTTGGCATACGCTCCATTCCAGTCTCTGAGCGTCTCCATCCACAATCATTCCTCAGCACCTGATTGGAAAACTAGGCCTGCTGCGCCTGAACACCTCCCTCTGCAACTGGATCCTGGACTTTCTGACAGAGAGACCTCAGACAGTCCGGATCAGTAACAGCACCTCCAACACCACCACACTGAGCACTGGAGCCCCTCAGGGATGTGTGCTCAGCCCACTGCTGTTCACTCTGTTGTGGGCAGAGGGGGACAAATTTTGTCTGGGATAACTACCTTGGCACAACACCTGGTTTGGCAGCATGTGGCGAGGCTCCAAATGCTTTCAGTGTGAACTCCAGACCGCTGACAGGTCTCGCACTCAACAGCCGCTTTATCAGATGACGCATAATGCTCCGATGTGCTAAGGTCACTACATGGGTTACTCCATGTCTCAAGTTTTTTGAGGTGCTTTTGTGATATTTAATGGATCGGATTACTTTTTTTTTTCTCCCCGATATACGATCTAGTAATTTAGGTCAGGGTCAGACCGATATCGATACTGTATATCGGCTCGGTCCATCCCTAGGTTTTACTGTCATTGTTTCTAAAGAACCGGTGTGTAAAAACCGTCTGTCCGTCCGTCCGTACATACGTATGTATATATGTATGTATGTATAATGTCACAAAAGTCAAATCATCCCAAACTGGTTTCTAGAACCTGACATTAAGTACTTTTCAAGAAATCTGCAGCAACTGTGTGTCTGTCTGTGGCTGTCTTGTCAACATGGACCAAAATATCTGAGAAATGTTTCCAGCACCTTGTTGAATCAATGACATGAAGAATAAGGACAATTCTGAATGCAAAAGGAGATCCAACCCAGATTACCAGTATAGTCTTCTGCTGTTGTAGACCATCTGCTTCGAGGTTTGATGTGTTGTGAACTCAGAGAAACTCTTCTGTGTACCTTGGTTGTTACAAGTGGTTATTTCGCACATGTGGCACTAATAATCATGCCATGCTTAAAGTCACTTAAATCGTTTTTTCCCCATTCTGATGCTCAGCTTGAAGTTCAGCAGGTTGTCTTGACTATGTTTGCATACCTAAATAATAAAGTGGCCAATGAGTAAATAGCATAATAAAATATTCCTTTCTTATAAAGTCATTTTAAAGTGCATACCATTTTCTCCCTTTAAGCCCATAGATGAAGCCCATAGCCCACTGATGCAAGGTGGCCCAGGTAAACCAGTTCTTCCTGCATGGCCTTTTTCTCCAAATGGCTCTGTGTAAAATAAGTGTGAGTGGAAAATCTGTCAGGCCTCTGTGGACCGTGATCTGAGGGCCGGGTTTCTTGGTGTACTGGTACTTTGGCTTCGGAGTAGACTTAGCTTCAGTGTAGTACACCACAATGAGAGCAACCGCAACTACGTCCAGTCAACTGACCGACCGACAGTGTTTATAATGAAACAGTTCGAGAGGCCAACTGCGGGGCCAGCGGCAGCAACTGTGGCAAAGCAGGTCCGGAGACCGACCATGGGGAAAGTGGCGATGGCAAAGCGGGCACAGGCGATGACCCTCGGGCGGCTTGGCACGCTGGACGTGGCTTGGCAGGGGCAGGCCTGACAGTGGCTAGTCCAAACAACGCATTGACCTCAGCCTGAGGCATGGCGGGACCAGGCGAGGTGGAACCAGGTGTGGCAGGACCAGGCATGGGCGTAGAAATGGCAGACGGTGATGGTGTATTCAGATGGAAGAGCTGCAGGCGACGGTGTGGATGCCACGGCCGGTTGAGCAGATGACGGCATGGCAGATGCAGGCAGTTGAGCTGGTGGCGTAGCAGCTGCAGGTGGTTTTGTAGGTGGTAGCGTGACAGGATGCAGGACATGCTGGGCTACGACTCCAGCTGATGTGGGAAACCCAGGTGGCTGTGAGGGCTCTCTGGAGCTCCCAGTGGAGACAGGTGATGGCTGTATGGATTCAGCTGATGGAGCAGGATGCTGGGCGGGCTTAGCTGAGCCTCCAGCTGTCACAGCAAACTGATGGCTGAGTTCTCCTGAGCCACCTCTTTCCTATCGGTGGACGAATGTACCATGTCGACCAATTTAAAAAAACAGTCAACACGTGGGATTTGGTTGTTTAGGAAGAGGGAAAAGTTTTAGGAGTGACGGTAACGGCAGCGAGACAGAGCGAGCGAGTGAGAGAGAGAGTTTTTAGATGTGGGAGATTTGTGACGTTTAGTGTGGAGTGTTTACTTAGTGTGTTGTGTTGTCTTGTGTAGTTGTTCTGTTGTGTAGTCGTTTTGTTTTGTGTGTCAGTGAGGGCACTAATGAATGTCACAAAGGCACATTGCAGTGTAAACACTGTCACTAAGTAGAAAACCAGCGGAGTGATACACCTGTTGTCAGGCCTGCAGATTTATCCGTGCTGCTCTCCTGTCTTTTGGTGGACAAACTTTTTTTTACTGGCACACATCATTTGTGGGGCATCTTATTGCGAAACCTGATTGTTCTCTCATTTTAGTTTTAGTAATATTTTTAAATGGTTGTACAAAATGAAGAAAAAAAACAGCAGGTGTATTGGCTGCATTTTTAGATAAATAGTTGTATATGTTTACAAAATGTGCAATTTATATTTGCATTTCAGGTTATAAACATTTACTGTTTTTTTTTTTTACAGAAAAAAAATGCTACTAGGATTTTAAGTTCTTTGTGTGATTTCAGATCAGTAATACTAATGCAGTATGTCAGTGAAAAAAACAACTAAATTCAGTTGAGCTGAAAAGAATGACACCAAACAAGGCAAGGGGGAAAAAATAAAATGAAACACTTTGAGGGTGAAATACAAACATAAACTCAAAAGGAGTCAAAAACGGCTGTTGTATTACAGACCTCTGTGGGTTGATCCAACAAATCATGAAAAATTAGGTTTACATTTTTGTTCATGACAGTGCAGATTTCTGACATATTGTGTAATTTAAGTATCTAACAATGTGATTGTTTTCTAACAAAAAACAGTGTGAAACTTAAGTCAGACTTGTGTTTGTAAATGAACCGCCCCATGTTGTGTAGCTTTCTGGATTTTATACTTGTTGGGCTACATATTTATTTATTATACAGGCTATACAGTACATACAATCAAAACTCACATGTTTTATGTAACTAAAGTGTTTAATTATGTGGACTACAGAGAATAATTAAATTCTAGACTATATTTATATGAAAAATGTGTATACTTACTGCATTTGAATTATTCTAACCATATATAACCACCTGCATATGTGTTTGGAAAAAAAAAGGCTTTGATTTTGCCACCCCATTTGATTCCTTTGCCACCCTCATGCCACCCTAAGAAAATTTCTCTAGATCCACCCCGCTCTAGCGTAGATGACTGGCTCTGCCATGTTTTTTTTGTTTTGTTTTTTTTTTCTTTTGCCTGTCCCGTTTGGCTCTTTTGCCATCAGAATTATTGTCTAAAGGCAAAGAAAGATGCCCAACGGATTTACTTTACCAAATTGACCATCCCAGCCTTGCTGTAATGGTCCATTTGATTCACCTCTTATTGTTTATTTTATTTTCACTTACTGAATACGGGACAGACTTGACTGGGGGAAAGAAGGGGAGAAAGAAAGAGGGAAAGAGAAACAAGCTGAGAAGAGGGACAGGGGAGAAGGGCAAAAAACAAAAACCAAAAGAACGGGCAGAAAAAAAAAGAAAAAGAAAAAAAAATGCATATATCGATCACCTCGATCACCTGCTGAGAAAGAAAAAAGAAAGCAAGCAGAAGAGAACAAGAGTAATAGAATAAACAACATCACAATGATATATGGGAATATGACAGTAAATACTAAATGTTAAACATTATTGTGCAGCACATAAGATCAACAGAACACAGTGTGCTTTGAGGTAGGAGCCAAAAAGGGTGTAGTTTGTGGGTGTGATCACCCGTGTGTACACCTGTGAGCATGGACGCGTTTGTTTTTTTAAAAGGTTCCTTCATGTAATGATCTGCTAGAGG